GCAGGCCCTGGACTGTCACTCAGCCCTGCCCCCCGGCCCCCCCTCGCTCCCATTATAGCCGGGCGGGCGGCCCCACGTGGGAACTGAGCACACAGGGCTTGGCTGCGGGTGGCAGCCCGCTCCCACCCCCAGGAGGGTGCAGAGCTGCCCACCACCTGAGGACAGACCTCACCCCCGCCGCCAGCACCAGTCCTGGGGTTACGGCCAGGGGGTCTGGGGATGCGGTGAAAGGGGGGGGACACACACTGGGGACAGCCTCTCCCTGCGGGATCCCTGGCTCTGAGGGTCTGAGTGAGGAGGCACCTCCTTCCTGACCCCCCGCCCCCCGACCAAGCCACGTCCTCCACCCAGAGCACCCCCTTCCGCCGGACGCCCCGGGAGTCTTTAATTTTTTGTTTTAATCGTCACCCGAAGATATTTTTCCATTGATTTTTAGAGAGAGCGGAAGAGAGAGAGACAGAGAGACACATCGATGGGTTGCCTCCTGCAGGCGCCCCGACCAGGGCCCGGGCTGGGGAGGAGCCTGCAACCCAGGTCCGTGCCCTGGACCGGAATCAAACCCGGGACCCTTCAGTCCACAGGTCGATGCTCTATCCACTGAGCCACACCAGCTAAGGCCTCAGGAGTCTTTTTTTTTTTTTCAGGGAAGATGGGAGAGGAAGAGAGAGAGAGAAACATCCATGATGAGAGAGAATCACGGACCGCTGCCTCCTGCACGCCCCCCACGGGGGATGGAGCCCGCAACCCGGGCCTGTGCCCCTGACCGGGAATCGAACCCTGACCTCCTGGTTCCTAGGTCGACGCTCAACCACTGAGCCACACCGGCGGGGACCCAGGAGTCTTTCGAGGCGGCTTTCAGGGTCCTCGGTGCCCCCCCCCCAGATGGCTACACACGCACGGGGCCATCTGCTATGGCCCTAACCGCCCCCAACTGTCACATGCTCGTCCCCCAGGTGGGGAGGGCCCGAGGCCAGGCGCCCCCACATCTGTCCCCTGAGCACAGGGCCCGCTAGGGCTCTCGCCACAGCAGGAGGGCGACTCTGAGGTCACGTGGGGCCGCTCCCACCTGGGTCTGGGTGGCCGAGGGGCGTCCAGTGGGCACAGCCGGGAGGTCCCAGGACCTGGGAGCCTCCCCCCGACCCGGGAACACACGGCCCGAGGACCCTGCCGTGAATCTTGCTCACTCTGTCCCCCACCCGGACTGGGGGGAGGCGGGTCCTCTGTCTCCCCTCCCCCATCCCCCCCCAGCAAAAAGATGGGGGAGTAGGGGGATGCCCAGCTGGTGTGGCTCAGTGGTTGGAGCATCACCAGTCCTTGGACTGAAGGGTCCGGGTTTGAACTTCGGGTTTGAACCTCGGTTGCAGGCTCCATCGGGGGCCTGTGGGAGGCAACCAATCGGGGTGTCTCTCTCACATCGATGTTTCCCTCTCTCTGCCCCCCCTCCCGTCCACTCTCTCTAAAAATCAGTCGGAAAATGTCCCTCAGGTGAGGAGGATGAACAACCACAAAAAAGACAGAGGGCCCTGGCTGGTGTGGCACAGTGGATAGGGCGTCGGCCTGAAGACAGAAGGGTCCCGGGTTCGATTCCCGGTCAGGGCACAGGCCCGGGTTGCGGGCTCGATCTCCAGTGGGGGACGTGCAGGAGGCAGCCAATCCATGATTCTCTCTCATCATGGATGCTTCCGTCTCCCTTTCCCTCTCCCTTCTTCTCCCTCTAACGTCAATAAAAAGATATTTTGAAAAGAAAGAGAGATGTGCTTCATCATCAGGGAGATTGGCAACGGTGTGCAGACAGAAGCCGGCGTTAGAACCAGAATAGCTGTGGTCACAGCTGGGTGTCTCCCTCCGGCCGTGCTCAGCCTGGGGCGTTAATTTCACCGTTTTCACAGATGAAGTTAAACATAGGGACTTGTCACAAATAAGCCGCCCCCTCCAGGAGGCTGCCTCCGCTGGGAGTTCACAGGCTGCAATTTTTAAACGCAGCGGCTCCCCGAGGGCCAATCAGTGTTGGTGGCAATTCTTCTTGGC